TTTTCAATAAGCAATCCTGAAAAATATTTGGGGGTGCTTAACTTTTTTCCAGGTGTATATATACGTATTGATTTCTTAAATCTTATACAAAACCTACTTCGCCTTAAAACATAAAGAAAAATAAACGTTTATTACTACCAAATATATTTTATCCTTTGCACAGTCGAAAGAGTTGAAAATTTGTGTTGGAATGTCAGCACTGTATTTTCTACTTCCTGACCTAAAATACAGTGAAAAGGCTTAAGAGTGCTATTTAAATCTCTTTTAGAATGCACACGTACTTTTTTTGATAATATTTCATTTTTCTGCGTAGTTTAATAAAAATGGGGTGATTAAACAATTACTTCGAGACTGATGAAATAAGTGAAGGGTAGGTGCATTTTGAAGGTACAGATAAATTACTTTTAGTTGAATTCTATAATTTTCGTTAATCATTCAACAATGGCTTCCCATCGTTTTTGACGGACTTTTATACTTGTATTTAATTGATTCTTTGTTTATAGTGAAAGGACGTGGCGCCATCTATGAATGTAGTTAACGTTAACTTATAACGAAGATAATAAACACTCAATAACGGCAATAATTGGGTGCAGAGGGAGTTGTGAACTCCATTACATATATATATATATATATATCAAAATTCCTTGTAACATTTATTTTTTTATGAATGAATCCTGGTAAATATCTAAAGAGAACTTGAAGAAAAATCATCTTATCATTACAAGATAACTGATTAACTTTGCTGATGTTGTTTTCGTTACTGAAAATGGTGTGGTGATGTGGGTAGCTTACATTTGATGACGGAGAAAGTAAAAGTTTGGAGTCGGCTTGAATGGGCACTGAAGAAGAGTTTGTTTATAAATTTACAATGTTTCGAGATGATTATGTCATAATTAGGTAAAAGTAGATTACATAGACCAAGATACCTTTACTAAGCTGTTAAGTAATCTCCGGTATTGTGACATCTTTGTTCCTTACTGTATATTCATGTATCTATGTAAACTACTTGTGTCGAATGATAAAATAATCTTGTCGAAGCGTTGTAAATTTATAATAAAGTTTTCTTTATTACCCATTCAAACCATCTCCAAACTTTTGTTTGATGTAGGTAACGTTCTCATCGCAGGCTTTTTTTATATTTCTTTAAAAGAGCCCGAGACCCCAGAATATACCTGAATGGTGTTACCAGCCACACCCTCCCCAAAATGCAGGATTTACACTCTGACGGACAAAGGCTTTTCCACGACAGCAGTATAACAATCCACTGCCTTTGAAATTGGCTTAAAAGAAGCGACAATAAGCATCTTTAAAATAAACCTGAACTTCGCGTTTGTCTCTGTGGACATCTGTGAACCAGCTGTTGATCCTTCTCGACCAATAGACCACGATCAAAGATACTTTCTGTCATTTAATGGAGTCTGTGCCTCGTTTAATTCAGAGTATTATCGTGCCAAAATTTGATCTAACTTGATATTAGGTGCTGTTTGTAATAAGTTACTAAAGAAAATATTTCACTTTTTATGAACACCACAGGTGGTTGTAGTCATACATTTGTTTAGGCTGTAACGTTCGCAAAACCTTGCTACGATAACGCATTGAATGTTCAGTTAATTATAAGCAATACTTATACTTCTAGCGTGAGCAAAAGCTTATTTGGAATACAAGCGGGAATATTCTCGTGACCTGGTTGAAGCTTATTTGGAATACTGGTGGGAAGATTCTCTTGATCTGGTTGCACTAAACTTAGGCGATGAAAATATAACGTTTAATGATAAATCTACTTTCACTTTTTCGCTTGTAGTAGAAAAACAAACAAACAAACAGCCCAACAATCATATCTATATTTACTTAGCAAACGTGGGGAATGTTCCAAAAGAAGTCAAAGAAGTGGTCAGAGTTGGGCAGTATTGATTCGATATCCTTTAACATGTAAAAAAACTGAAGACAACCAATTTTGCATTTAGAAAATACTTGTATTCAGTCTCTCTCCGTTTTTGACTTAAACAACTCTTTGCTCCCTAACTATAGTTTCTAGAGTTTAGATGTTAGTGACCAGTAACCAAGTAATATATGATATTATAATCATATAATGACATCTTTAACACAAATAGTTTGTTTGTTTGTTTTTGAATTTCGCGCAAAGCTACACGAGGGCCATCTGCGCTAGCCGTCCCTAATTTAGCAGTGTAAGACTAGAGAGAAGGCAGTTAGTCATCACCACCCACCGCCAACTCTTGGGTTACTCTTTTTTCCAACGAATAGTGGGATTGACCGTCACATTATAATGCCCCCATGGCTGAAAGGGCGAGCATATTTGGTGTGACGGGGATTCGAACCCGTGACCCGCAGATTGCGAGTAGTGCCCTAGCCACCTGGCCATGCCGGGCCCATTAGGTTAAATACTGTTTTCATAAACATTCTAGTTGTTTATAAGCTTCTAAAGATTTAACCTAAAAAAAAAGTTGCTTCATGACACTAATGGGGCCAAAGTTCCTCGCAGTTGTGTTTTGTAGAAAGAAATGTGTTAATATAACTACTGATTACTGGAGATCTTCAGTATACTGATAGTAACAAAGACATAACAAGGCACTGTTAACCCTGGCGACATGTATATGTAAGACGTTGTCACGCCGTGAAGGAACCTTTGAAGAGTAGCGGCATATGCAGCATGTTATAATTTTTGTGTATTACAGGGAATCCCTTAAAGTTCTTAATTTTTTGTTGAAATAACACTGTACCAAAAATATTTACCTTTACTGTTCTTTCATAGTCACTACCCACGTGTCTATGGGGATGTTTGTCTGCTATGAGAAAAATCTCAAACTGCTCATCATTCTTTGTTTGAGATTCTACTAACTAGCTTGTATCTCCTTCAACGAACCTTGTCAGGTGTGGGATGTATGTTTAATACCTAGCGGCCTATATAGAAGTCATTCAATTTTCAGATATAAATAGAGGGACACTCAGTAGAGCGCATACCTCCGTCACGCAGCGTTGATCATATTCGGCTCTTAAAAATACGATTATCAACGAACACGAACCATTTTTGGAAGGACAATGAAGAATAATATTCTACATATGTCCATCAAGTTTCATCAAAATCTGATCATTTTTGACCGAGTTATAGAGCAAAAACAGTGTAAAAAAATCGGTCCCCATGTTAACAGATAATGGTGTTTTGGATTTTCGTTAACTTGCTGTGATCTTGATATATGACCCTTCAAACTAATCACTTCTAAGTTGGGTCATAGTCCAAATGTATACCAACTTTATTCCAAATCTATTCAGCAGTTTTCGAGAAACCATGCTGACAAACACACACAAAGGGATGAAGAAATAACCTTCGGTGGTGGAAGTAATCATTGCCGCCCACATAAATCTTTGGGCCCGAGACAAGTCTTATTTGGGACCCTCTTTGGGCTGTTGTGTTTTACAGATGTAAACATTTGACGCATTGGAAATATAATGGGGTCAAAATTGTTCCATTTCAGTCCAAGACACTTCCAATTTCGATATATTAATCTAGCAGCTAGAACCATTTTAGGAATAAATGAGTTAAGACCTAGCATAAATTTTCAAACGAATAAAATAGGCTGATTTCTCGAATAATAACTAATCTTACGATAAAAAATACATTAAAGTTTTCTCTTCGACAAATATTTCATGGAAAAGTTAATTATACAGTCTTTGTGAAAGCAGTTGGATTTGTTTTATTGTAAATAACATTTTCCAATACAGATTTTCAGTAAATGTATTTTATTTCTCTTGAAAATATAACCAAACACATAAAATTTGTTTATAAGAAAAGGTAACAGATGCACGCAGACACAAACAAATAACAAATGATAAAATAATATTTTTATTCGCGCCAATTCAAATTACTGGAATTTAAATGAATCACAAAATTAACAATATTGTGGTAAAATTTCGAGAGTATATACGTAAACTGATCCTGGGATAATTAATGCAACAATGAAGTAAATACGATACAGGTATTGATACATTTTATTTTAAAGGAATAATGACAAATAACATTTTATTTTTACTAGAATTCTTTGTTTAGAGTTAAGCACAAAGCTATACATTGAAATATTTATGCTCTGTCCACCAAGGGAATCGAAACCCGGTTTCTAGCATTGTAAGTCCGCAGACATACCGCTGTGCCACTGGGGGGGCTTTACAACAATAAATGTTGTTATTATTATCAAACACTGCTGCAAGAAGTTACACACAATACGACTTCCAAGACCCAAGAGTACAACAGTTATAATAAAATTCACTTAACAAATGGAATTATACGTAAAGCTCAATTTTTTTCTCGAGTTTAATAATACATATATATATATGTAGCATTGTTTTTCAGGTACACGTACAATAACTGTTAACAAAGAAATATATATGTTTTTTTTAAATCACAAAACAACAACATAACCTAATTTATTATTCGCCCATCATAACTAGCATAGCAAGTGTTGACAGCTTTAGATTTAACTTCGTTAAACTTCAGTAACTCACAGAAGCTAGTATACATTTTATACATTGAACAGAAAGATGAAATATCACACTCTCTTATGCTACACATATAGTTAGACAATACTGGCGAACCTCGAGAGGATGAACCTTTTTTTACATCAAGTACAACGAACTAAAGGTTTAAGCATTTTTCGAACTTTTAAGGTATTGAAATACGTTATATATAAAACACTATATAATATGACAACATTCAATGATATGCCTTCACTCAAGAAAAATACCTATACAGCTCACAAAGACACCTGTTTGCTATTAATATATTTTAAACCCTTTAATTCGTGCACATCTTTTTCGTGAACATTTCAATTTAACTAAGAAGCTTCTAGTCGTCAAGAAACACAATGAAATAACAATTAAGGATTATGCAAAACTTCAAAATAATGCAAATGAATACGACAGAATAAACAGTTGGTGAAACTTTATTTTGAACCCAAGTTGCAAATAATATAACAGTTGGCAATATTCATGACGAAAGTTTCATAATAATATAACAATTAACAATATTCATGACGAAAGTTTCATAATAATATAACAGGTAACAATATTCACAGTGAAAGTTCCATACACATGGTGTCAAGTTTTTCTGATATAATTACTGTAGTTCAACTAATAATTTTTACAGTATTAATCATTTTTTACAGATATTAAAATATCAGTAAAATATAATAAAATATTATTTAAACGGCAAACTATTACGTAAAAATGTCATATATTTAGTCATGAAAATATAACATGGGTCATCTTCGTAACAAACCTTTAAATTATAATTCCTACTCTTTGAAAATGGATAATATTGGCCGATAATAATGAGAAATTACGTTATGTTTTAATAACATTTCTTAAAATTTGTTTCATATTATGATGGTTTTCTTTGTCTTTCTTCCGTATTAGTCCTATCTGTAAATATCTGACGTCATTATGGTTTAAGTATAAGTATAGGACTAACCCCAACACACTATATGGAACCACGACAACCATGCATGACCGACTGGTTCGGTTAACATCTTAGTATTTACTGACTTAGCTATTCACCAAGAAGTTCAGGACAGGAGATTTCATTTCTCTGAAGTTTGTCAATCATAACTAATAAATCATAATTAATTTCATCTGTGACCACGGAGTCGTGTTTATAGCTTACATGCGTGGTGACAAACTCTCGTATCCAGCGTGCATCAGTCATCAACTCTCCTGAAATTAATTATTAAATATGAGCCCTTTAAAACAAAACATCAGGATATTTGCTATAAAAGTTCTTAGTACACCTTCAGATTTCAAACACAAGGAATCTATTTATCATTCACTCGAAAATCCACAACTATAACTAATTTTTCAGTACAGTCATATATGTACATTATTTGATGATATCTTTCAAAACAAATGTTCCTCCCAATTACTCACGGTAATCTTGAGGTTTTATAATGCTAAAACTCGTGGTTTGATTCCCCATAGCAGACGCAACACAAATAACCAATTCTGTGGTTTGCATTAAGCAATAAAACAACACATCTAATTTATGTAAATTTCTGAAAGAGGACTGTGCAAAACATTGTTTTCATCATGCTTGTATAATTTGATTTATTTAACCTTTCTTATGAAATTACGAATAATTCCTCTAGGCATTCGAATACACACTAGGCGAGAAAGAAACAATGGATCTTATCATTAGAGCTGAAGTGTTAGAGCATTAGATTCTGCAAGTAAAGCACTTTTTAACTACGGAAACTCAGACTGTCCTACGCAGCTCCTCTCTCAGAAATAAGACTTGGCCTCGAGCCTAACAGATTCATAGTTGTGGGTTTATAGACGAGTGCAGACCTCTCAGTTGTCTGAGCACTTGTAACTCTGGGGATAAGAATCCTCCCATCCAACGAGTGAATGAAGAAAAATAACGACTCTTATTAACCGAGTCTGAGAAGCAACACTATTTACAGCAGCATGAATACTTGAACTTTTAGGGATTAGAATCTCAACTGAATAAATGAATGATGGAAAATAAGTACTTTTACCTACTTAATCTGAAAAGTAACACTATCTATAGCAGCATGAATACTTGCACCTTTGGGGATTAGAATCTCAATTGAAGAAGTGAATTATGGAAAATAAGTACTTTCAACCTACTTAATCTGAGAAGTAACACTATCTACAGCAATTGCGCCTCTCAGGATTAGAATCCCCATCGAACAAGTGAACAATGAAGAATCAGCTATTTTACCAATGGAACCTGATGAGTAAGACACTATCTACATCACTATGAACATTTGCACCTCTCAGGATTAGAATCCCCATTAAACAAGTGAATGATAGAAAATATGTACTCTTACTAACCGAGTCTGAGAAGTAAGACACAATCTACAGGAGCAAGAACATTTGCACCTTTCGGGTAAAATACTTTTTAACTCTTCCAACTATTTTAGTAATTATGGTCAGCAACAAAACTAAAGCACTACAATTAAATATCACTTGATCAGAAACATTACTAGTGATGCCATAATTATATTCACTTATCAAATGCAGTGAATCGAAAACTGATTAAATACATTCTTTTGATTACAAGGACTTAATTCACGTGGAAATATTCTCGTTTATCATTTAGTATAAAGTAAATTAAATCATCTTGTGTTTAAAAACTTCTTGATAATTATCATAAGGTTGCTATATTCAGAGTTCTTGTACGACTTAGTGACTCGACAGACCAACTATGAGGTCATCAGTTGTCAACTGATCTTCCAGAGTAAGTAAACGTAAGGAAAAACTGAAAAACAACCACTTAATAAGTTACAATTACAAAGAGAATTATCACATTACAAAATACTCCTCCAGTCTATTTCAAAGTTTGTTCTGAATATGGAATAAAGTCATAAATGTACAAAGACAAAACACGTATTAAGTGTTATATGTTTTATAAAAAATAAGTATGACATAATCTATTATTGATTCATTTATATTATTAACTAGCTGAAGTTTCCATCCACTAGGCGGAAGTTATGTAAATTCATGATTAATGACAGGCTATCTTAGGATATGAAAAGTTGCTTCCCTTATATGTAATTGTAAAAACATAAAAACGCCCATAAAAACCGTAAAAGAAAAAACGCAAAACTGAAAATTTGTACGTATCTCCCCATGGACCCAATGAACCTCCATATTAAATCCACTTACAGGTGGTGAAGTAGTGATAAAAATGCCCATAAAAACTGCAAAACTGAAAATTTTTATATACCCCCGAATGGACCTAATGAACCTCCAAACCAATTTTGGTGAAGATTCATCCACACTCTGCGAAATAGTTATATAGAACAGACAGTACTATTATATTTATATAGATTCATGTAAGTACATATGTAACTGTCAGATTATAGATAGATGCATATGCCACTCATCTTAAGAAAACTTCAAGCTTTAACGCATGTATTGTTACTTCATTTAATCTTTATTCCAACAGAAGTTAACCGAATGAAAATACTTAAAATGTCATGTTGATTTTGCTTTCATAGTAATCAAATACAGAGCCAAGCGTGACTTAGTGGTCAAGGCCGCCAAGGGTTTTCATGGATCCTCTCTCCAAACTATGAAAAGTAAACCGGCATATAAGGCACTACTTTCAACCGCCTTTGTAGCTTACTCATCAGCCAATTATAGAATAGCATTATAGCACTATGGTCACTTGATGATCAATCAAAATTACAGCTGCAGTGAGAAGGGCAATATCTATTTATTATTTTGTTTTAAAATAAAAAGTCTTGTAGTGTGTTCATAATGCTATTGCCTAGCAACCTTTTCTTTTGAAATAAAATTGCGATTAGGTATGTATTCATATTTGAAAGCTCTGTAGTAGTAGAAGTAGTTGCAATTGACATTGGATTTATCTATATTTTGTTTGGTGACCAGGATCGCCAGGACATTAGCCCCAAACGTCATCATTTCCAGGTACTCATATTGTTGCCTCTACAAAGTCTTAGTGCAGCTGCTGACTTTTAGAGTTAATGTCCGACTAGTAACAAAAAATAACTAGTAAAACCAGACTTACTGATATTGTGTATATGATTGCTATTCAACTTCAAGATATTGGAATCCCTCGGATCGTTTTTAATTGGAAACAAAACTACACCCTGGACACACCGGAAGAAAAAAACAGAAGTAAGTAACAGGCGTACTGCAGATAAAGATGCTATATTGAATACAGCTTATAAAGATTAAGAGCCACCACTGTACAGAAATGCGTTGATAAAGTTTTTAAGTAAAAATCTAGTCTATACACACTAAGAAAACTACACTTTAAAAAGCAAGCTTCCTTATCAGCTTAATGTGTTTGTTTTGTGTTCTGTAATTATACATTATGACACAAATCTAGAGAAGTAGGATACCAAGTTTCAGGAAGCTGTTGTAGCGTATATACACAAGTGTAGTATACTACATCATATTATACTATACTACAAAGGGTTGAGTACGTTGTATTAAAAAGGTAATAGCTCTTTCCGACACAAAATATTCATACATGAGATGATAAAGATGTGTTCAAAACGGGAATTTAGAATTTCCAAGACGGAGGTAACTTTTTACGTAATATGATTGGAAAACAAATCAATATGAATCGTTTTAGGGACGAGGATCATCTATAAAGAGACATTCTACAAGTTGTACCCCAACCGTATTAAGAAAAGTGCAACTTGTAACATGCGAGAGTCAACAAAAAAAGTCAGTGGCAAAATACATCCACATGTCTCAGGCAACAGTCTGCAACACTATCATGAAGGATATCTTTCTGGAAATGTCATATGTATACCCAAGTTGCTTCCATGCATACCTTAAGCTGCTGGAATATGAAACGGGTATTCATGCTATTCTATAACGAATCATATAGGTCAAGTTGTCAGATTCAACACTTATGGGTTTCTGTTTGTTCACTCAGTTGAAATGAGTGCTGGGAAACCGTTGTCCTCGTACACTACGTGACTTATGGAAAGCCAGCAGGGTGAAGTGTTATGCCTTGACATTACAGTCTTACGATGAAGCCTTTTGCAATGGAAGCTACGTTGCAGGGATATTGTCAAGAACCACAGCCGTTAGATACAGCATGACCGGACCTGGCGAAATGGACCGTAACGATGTAATGAAGTTTTAAGATATTTTCAACATAACGTACTCACCTTCTATACTACGATGTGATGTATTACAAAGTAGCACGAATGTAATACAGTGTATGCTGGCCCAGTAAGAAAGCAGTCACGTTCTTGATACGGACAATTCAATTTAGAAATCTGTAGTATTTCTAACAACCTTCTGTAAATTTTTTTATAATAAATACAATGTGATATTTTTTGTTGTTTATATCTTGTTTTATTTCCAAGATATTTTTGTTGTCCACTTTTAATAATAAAAACTTGACAAAATCGATAAAAATACATGTAACCGATTTCCAAGAGAAAATCTTTTTTTTAATGAACATCATATTTTATGTAACTCAACAATTTTAAAAGCAACAATTGTGAGAAACCTCTAAGCTTCTGATGCTTTTAACCTTATTCTAGAATGTTTTATGTACAACCAACCATTCCTGCTCCAAGACACGGTTTTATGAACAAGGCAAATTTTTCTACATGTATGCAACCTTCGTTTTAACCGCTAAATTAATCTGTATGTTTTGGCAGTTCTATATGCCGGGTAAGGCCAATGGCATATACATTAAATCTAATTAATTAATTGTGTCAGTTCAATACTTAATTTCCAGACCTTTTATTTGATAAAGTTATTAATTTAAGTGTTAAACTTCACAGTGCGAACTGAGCGGCTTTCAACTGTCAGCGTTCCCAGATCTGTAATACTTTCATGGGCAAAGCTGGAATGCAGGTAACTCTTAATCAGCTTCAACTTCCCAAATGATCTTCTCTCTTCAGCAGTGTTGACTGGGATTGTGTAGAAAATGTAAAAGTCTCAACAGCAAGTTTAAAAAGAATCCATGAATGAGATTATATTAATTAATTCTTAGAATAATAATGGCTGGAGACGGCTTGAGTGGGTAATGAAGAAAAACTTTAATATAAGTTTAACATAACAGCAAATGTACAACGTTTCGACAAGGTTTTGTCATCATCAGGTACTGCCTTTGTTTAAAAACACAGAACTTCAACCGTTGAGTGTCC